AGGCCTTCATTTCGTTTGAATTTTCTTCTCGATAAGGTCTCATATTTTTCTGAACCGTTTGGCAAACAATGCCATTTCCTCGTCATCATCATCATCATTCGAATCACTCTCTCTTTTATGGATTTGAGAGCACTCCAATGTTTTTCTTCTTCTCCTTCTCCTTTGGTCTCTCGTCAATCTGTCGAGGTCCACCTCATCTTCGAGCATCATTTCATGAGTGAGGAGTGACCCAATTAGCTCTTCAGAGTAAGGACGTTAAGTCCTTAGACTCGATGATGCCGTCTTCTTTGATTGCCACGATTTGGGAGGGAGTAGACTAACTTCCTCACAGGCTTTTCATTTGAAATGATCTCTCCATATGATTGAGACCATTGACAATCGTTGAAAATCTATCCGTCATAGCTTTGATATCTTCATTGGTTTCATCTTGAAATTTTCATAGTTATGCGTTAGAATACTAATTTTAGATTTCTTTACCTCATCAATACCTTCATGAGTGACTTGAAGTTTGTCCATATTTCTTTGGCGTTGTACACGATGAAACTCTTCCGTATTCATCTGGTCCAAGAGCACAAAAAATGATATGGATGGCTTGGAGTTGAGCTGGAACATTCTTGTCTCCCTTCACTCCATAACCTTGGATGAGTGAGAGGTTTAATGTATCCTTCTTCTACAGCATTCCATGCTCATGTCACTTGCTTGAATGAAGTACATCATTCTATTCTTCCAATAGGCATAGTTAGCTCCATTGAAGAAAGGAGGCTTGTTGACGGCATCGAATCGAGACCGGAGTCGAAGTTTGAAGCGAGGCCATGATGACTTTGATTATCGATATAACTCTTCCGAATCGACTCAGAGGTGATTAAACCTTCAAATGAGTTAGGCTCTGATGCCAATTGTTGAGTTAATCGATTGACGGAATCGGCCAAGGGGGTGAATTGGCAATAAAATTTGGTGGAAGCTTTTATAGAAAATTAAAAGAAATTGCACAGCGATTTAGAGTGGTTGACTTTATCAACCAAAGTCTACGTCCACTACCTTAGCTATCCACACTAAGGATTTTCCAAAAATTCACTAATTTGTTCTTTCTTTGAGGCCAAAGAGATAACCTTACAACACCCTCAAGAATATACCCCAATTCTTGATAACTCTTTTCTCAAAGAGAATACAAATTTGCAAACTTACAAGAAAAACCTCACAAGGAAAATATGTTTGCACAATTCTAGAATAAAGAAAGAACGCTCAAGAATAAATACAATTGAGCACAATAAGTGTTCTTGAAGCAAAATGAATATTGAATGAAAAATAGGCTTGAAATGCTCAAACTTGAGGTTTGATGCTTTCTCTTTGATTCTCTCTTGATTCTAATGCTTGTGTTTTTGATGATCAATGGCTTCTAAGCTTGCTTAAATACACCTTGAATCACTTCTGAACGTTGGGGATGATTAGAGAAGATAATATAGCCGTTTTAGTGTGAAAACAATTAATAAAACAGCTTGGAGCGTGGGGGGAATCGGTACCCCCTATGGGGAATCGGTTCCCTAAGTGTAAAATTCAAATATTTCGACCGTTATATAAGGGGGAATCGGTTCCCTCCGAGCATATTGGAATTCTCGGAGCCAAACCATTCAAGGGGGAATCGGTTCCCTCTGAGCAATCTGGAATTTTTGGCTTTGAAATGGTTCGAAATACTTTGTAAAATTATTTTGAGATTATTTTAAGATTAAAACTTAATTTTACACTTGATTAAGGATTAAAAATGATCTTTGAAAGATTTGGAGTAATGTTTTGATATTCGAATAGTTATATCGAATATACTTAGAAAATCATTTGGAAAAACCTTAAAATTTATTTAACTTAATTTGTTATATCGAAATATCAAAATGTTTTCAACACAAATTACCTTAGCTATGGTGTCACAGTGGAGAGGAGGAAGAAAAAGAAGCAAGGTTCTAGATTCCTCTTTTCTTTTCCCTCATTCCCCACGTGATTTTCCTTTATAAATGGAAAATAAAAAAGCTTTCTTATAAAATGACCATTATACACTTATTACTTTCAAACTTTACCATTAAATATTTTACAAACTATTTCCCAATTAAATCCCTGAACTTTTAAATCTTTCGAAATTAGACCTCAAAGTTTCAAAACTTCCATTTTAGTAACTAGCCCTTATTTAGGGATATTACATAAGGTCTCTAATCCATCACCACCCACTGCGGGTATGACTTTTTACATCTACACCCGCCCACTACCCACTAAACTTATACCCATCCCCGCCCCAATTGGAGCGAGTGCGATGCAAAATCCATGAAATTGTACGCGTTTATCATCCCTACCCTTAATATTTAATAGAAGTGATGATGTGACAGTTAATAAAATTGCTATAATTATAAATTTAGTCCTCAATACTTATATATTATATTAATTTGGTCCTAATTTTAATTAGTTTAATAAATTTAATCCTCTAATCATGTGGTGAGACGTATCACCATGTGATTGAAGGACTTTTTTTATAATCTAAAATTATTTAATTTAATAATTTTTTCCACTCAGATGGTGAAACATGTCACCATCTGGTTGGAGGAAGAACATGTTACAAAGAAAAATTAAAAAGGGATTGGTTGGACTCGAACCTCGGTGAGAAGGGAAAAATGGGGTATTTTGGCCCAATAAGCCATGCGGGTAAAACAAATTATACCATTAGGCCATCTCCAAAATTATTTTGGAATCTACGACAAATGCTACAGTGCAGAAAAAACTCGTCATACTAACATGACGAGTTTGCCTAAATAATATTTTTTATTTAAATTTGTCACGTCGAAGTGATGAGTTCCAATAAATTAGAATTTTTATTAGATTTTGTGACGTCGGAGTGAAAAGTTTCAATAAAAAGTATTATATTAGAACTCGTCATACCCACCTTACGAGTTCCAAATCACTGTAACAAATGTGGTAGTTTCCACTGACTCAACGACAAATTGGCACGCGTTGCTCCCTTCTCATCCAGGTTCAAGTCACCTTAAGTTGTTTTTAAATCCTTCTTATAACATGTTCTTCCTCCGACCCATGTTTAAGTCTCCCCAAGTGGTTTTTAAATCTTTCTTTATAACATGTTCTTTCTTGAACCAGATGATAACATGTGTCACTATTGGAGTGGAGGAAAAAGATTAAATAAATTTAGATTATAAAAAATCCTTCAATCTCATGGTGACACGTGTCACCATATGATTAGATGATTAAATTTATTAAACTAATTAAAATTAGGACCAAATTACTATAATATATGAGTATTGGGGAACAAATGTATAATTATATCAGTTTTATTAACTCCCACGTCAACACTTCTGTTAAATATTAATGACAAATGGCTTGATTGACATCATTTAAATAGTTAAATGGTGACTGACAAAATTGAAAGATCGGTAGTAAAAGTAAAAGGCTTAAATAGTTTAGTGGTTAGTGATATAATTTACCCTAATAGTTATTGATGTAAGCTTAGTCAATAGGGGCATTGTTTATGGGTGATGGTAGATAGGGGCCGCGGAACACCTTTGGATCCTATGTATCTCAAAGCAGTTGGTAAATGAAATGAAATATTAAGCCAAATCAATCAATTAACTTAAAATCAAACCAACTCACCATAATGCTTCATGACATGACAGCATGCCTCCTTGGAATTCTTCACCTAAAACCAGTAAACTGTTTTTATATAAAATAAAAATCTTATCAAAGCTATATATAGAGACTTTGAATTCACAGCATAATATAGTTCATATCCCAAAAGTTACCAAGTCTGGTCCAACACGTGCTTTGATTATGTATAATATTATATTACTTCATTGCTTGATTCACCTTAAAAAAATATTTATTTGTGGTTTAAATAGGTTAGGTCTTTTATAATTTTCAAAATTTGAACTTAATCTTTAAATTTTCATCTTACGATATTAAGTCCATAAACCATTAAACTTATATCTCAAAGAAAGGCAAATATAAGTTTTTTCTTTACAATTTTTATTAATTTATCCCTTATATTTTGGGTGGAGGGGAAAACTGCATAGAAGCTTCACCTAGTGCTGAATAATCTCACTTTCACGACAACTCGGAATTGATTAAGCATATTTATTTGGCGACATGTGGTGGATATATATATATATATTAATTAAGGGTTTATTATATTTTAATTTGGAAAAGCTTACGCACATTGCTAATTACGTATGGTCAATCCACTGACTGAATGAATGTTGGTTTAATATAATAATCTTATGAATTTGAGGGATTTTAAAGTACAGTTGCAAAGTTTAGAATTAAGCCCCTTCTTTCTTTGAATTTTCTAAATCAGAGATTAGTTTAATAATAGCTTTAAATAATCTTCTCCGAAGAGGAATATTTTTCTTTTAAAAAATTCAAAGTGCTACCATTATTGATTGTCTTTTTATCTATTTCAAACAAATTCTTTGTTACAAAGTTAGCACATTTTATCTCCTCTAATTTAAACTAAATCGTCTAACTTATGGTGATTACAAGGTAATCTGTTCAGAATCTCTTTTAGTCATTGACAACAAACACACACCCGCAGAGGCAGTTGATTGAACCCAAAACTTTTAGGAAAAATAATATTTCTTTAACTATTAAAGTCACTTGATGAATTGAAATGTCTTCAGATTATTTAATTTATTGATGATACATAAAATTATATCATATAGTCCTGATCTTTTAATTATAATAAAAAGGAAGATCATATATTGCTTACGACTTTTCTACTTGTCTGCCGTTATTTTATTCTTGTTTTTCTAGGATGTTCATCTGTACTAATTAATTTATTCATGGCATTGAATTGTAGGAGACCGTAGAATCACTATATAAAGGAAACCCTATACCAGGAATTCATAGTATAAAGACATTTAGTGCCATTTGAATACATGTAAACATAGAGATGGCAAAAGATGCTACAGTGGTGCTTCTAACACAATCGAGAGTGAAAATGGCTATTCTCAAGCTGATCCCGTGGCGAGAAGAAGCTCAAGCTGTTCGGTTTCGAGCTTAGCTCGAGTAAGAACGATTTTGGTGACGGCGGCGAAAGCGCGAATTCGAGTACGGATGAGAGGAAGTTTGAGTGTAAATACTGCTCCAAGGAATTCTCAAACTCACAGGCGCTGGGAGGGCATCAGAATGCTCACAAGAAAGAGAGAATGAAGAAGAAAAGATTGCTGGTTGAGGCCAAGAGAGCAGCTATCATCTACACTTATCTTCATCCTTTGCAAAACAGCTTTGGCTTTAGCTACCAACACTCTTCTCCCCATCACTTAAATCTTTATCAAGAATCACAAATTAGTTTCCAGCAAAATTCACCGGTGTTCACCATAACACCAGCTGCCAAACCATCAAAGCAAAGGTGTAAATACTTGGATCTTCAGTTGGATCTCAGCTTGTAATCCTCTCTGGAAAACAGACACTCAGTTCAATTTTATTTGTAAAACTATGAATCTTGAGTTGGTCACACCAAGGTACTACTAGCCCAATACCACTGCATTTGTATGTTATCTTGTAGCACAGCAGCAATTTCATCCATTTGGTCGTTTGAAACTGAAAAGAAAAATGTAAAAACACACATGGAGGATGAGAATCTAGCCATTCCAGGCAAGGATGGACCTAGGGGGCACTGGGGGTGTGCAGTCTACCTCTAGAAATTTCGATTTTTCTTATATTTTATATGTTTTTTATTAATTATTTAATTTCACATCCCTTTCATTTTAAATAAATTTCTTAAGTTCACACTCTATGACATAAATTCTTGCATCCATCCCTGTTCTCAGGTAATTTGGATAATTGGGAAGGTATTCTTGTTTGTGTATATTTTGGTTACGATGTTCAAGGAAGATGAAATAGCCATTCCCAAATGCATTACGTCTCATACTTCCTTCAAACGACTTAGTAAGAAGATGAAAAGGAAAAATATTACACTGCGAGTCAGTACCTGTAAAGCATACACTGCGAGTTAGTACCTGTAAAGCATACACTGCGAGTTAGCACCTCTAAAGCAAGGACGATGTTATACTATATAAATGAGTACCTAATAGATTTTGTTTTTGCCAAAATTGTATTGGAAGAGCATGCTATGCAACGCAAATAACATACTCCTCTATTAATTAATGCAATCTGAACAAGCACATTCAGTCGGTTAGTCAAACTGTTCATTTTTGTTCTTCCATATTCCTTACTCATAAGTTCTAGACCCACTAGGACCACTTCCTTTTCTTCCCTTAGAATCCTCTCTCTTCCCCTCTCTTAAAATTAAGATTATATTTAAAATTTATATATATAAAAAACACTATTGAGAGCTTGAGCAAGTACATTTGACTAGTTAGTCAAACTGCTTCTCTTTGTTCATCTATATTCCTTTAGATTATGAGTTTTAGATTCACCACAAATACCCCCCTTTTCTCATAGAGCCCTTCTTCCCCTCTCCTCTAAGTGGAAATATGATTTGATTTAAAATTTATAAAAAAAGGAAAATTAATGACAACATACTGTAAGGCCACAAAAAAGTTTGTTCCATCCCAATTCTATTCAATATAAGAAAATGTGTGTTGGTGTTTAGAGTGATGGTATCTCACATTGGGAGGAAATATCCCTATTGAAGGGTATTTAAAGAGTCTCCTTTTCCCTCCTTTGTTGAATGCGGATAAGACATCTATCTCGCAGGCGCACGCCGTCGTCGCCTGTCCGGGGCGGGTTTACTCTTGTGTTATCTAAAAGAAATGAAATTTTTAATTTTGGTTAATGAAGTTAATATTTATTCTTAATGATTTCTTATCCCAGAGTTTGGGTGGTCCATTTAAAATGAACTTGAAGAAATTCATCTTATTTTTTGTGAGAATGAGCTGTTGAAAAAGCTCTTAATTATTCATAGCTCAATTTTGGGTGGTTTATGTTGAAATAAACTTGATGAAATTACCTACGTAAGTGAGAAGGATTAGCCACCTTTTATTAAAAACATTGGACTATTTTTCTAGTACACTTACTATAATCCTGAGGAAGGATGGCTACTCATATACATACATACTTGTATATACACTTTTTAGACACATCGAGAACTTCAGTTGATGAAGGGGTTAGCCATGTGTTATGATTTCACTATAATCTTAGAAAGTTCAAGATTCGTTCACTTATTTAAGAGAAAAATTAATCATTATCATTATGTTCTAGTTCCAGATACGTTCACTAGTACTTAAGCAGTTAATCTCGTTATTCCTCTTCTCCAGTTTTAAACTTAATACCTTTATTTTTTAAAGAATTCTTTTGTATTAGTGGGGGAATATTGGTAACGCTCATGGGCATAATATCCCACATTGGAGGAAATTTCCCTTGTGAAGGGTATTTAAAGAGTCTGTTATTCCCGCCTTTGTTGAATGTGGATAAGACATCTTGTAAGCAAGCGCCACCGTCGCCCGTCTAGTTAGCTCGGGTCTGATCAAGTCGTAATACATGTCTTTAACACGTCCATGTGCATTCTTTTCTTTTTAGAGAAAATTCGTAAGAATTTACTCTTGTGTGATCTAAAAGAAATGAAAGGTTTTAATTTTTGTTTTATATACCAATAAATACTTTTAAATATGGAAGGTCTATTTTTTTAACAACATTATTTCTGTTAATTAAATCGTTGTAATTGACAACTAATTAGAGAGAAGCTATATGGCTAGGGATGGGCATGGGTCAGGTTTTTGGTCCACCCGACCTGACCCGAAACAAAGAATCCTCCACCCGAGATTTGTCCCGACTTGACCCACCAAAACAAGATTCCACCCGACCCAAACCCAACCTGATATACAACTTAAAAACCCGACCAGACCCGACCCGAAATAATAAAAAAATTGTTATTTTTCAATAAAAACAGTGACTTAATTGAAAAAATAACATATAGAGGGGTATTATTGTAATTATTCCTAAATATATAAGGTAAAATTATATTATTTTCGGGTCGGTATTTTTCACCATAAACCCGAACTCGTCCCGACCCGACCCGAATATCGGATCAAAAACTCGACCCGACCTGTACCCGATTTTTTTTTTAAAATCTGACCCGATTGGGTCGAGTCGAGTTGAAACCCGTCGGTTTTGGGTCCATACATCCCAATATATGGACTATCTAAATAGTTTTACAGCCTTATACGACTATTTAATTGTAACAGTTACAAGCACTTAATCACAATCTTAATCTCTGCTAATTAAATAGTTGTTTCCACAGCTATTTTGACTTTGTACCTGGACAGTTTTGAGGGCTGATTTATTTTGGTCACAACAGAGAAATTACAACTACTAAATTAGTTATTTTCGGAAAGAATTAAAATAAGATCTTATTATATATTTTAATTTGATGTTTCCCCTATTTGAGTCCTATAAACAACTGATTCATTTCAGCATTTCAAATCATCCAAAACACTATGTTTTATACTTTCTAAGTTCTTCGCCATCTTTACATTTTCTGAAGCCTTTTGTTTTTATTTCCGGTGCTAAGAGAAGAGCAATACCATCGCAATCCACTCTGATCTTTGGGTGTATGATTATCAGAGATACCGTGTTAACCTCAGGAGACAAACGCCTACTGCATTGATTACACATATCAAGGTAAAATAATTTCGAAGGCAGTTGTTACATACCACGGCATGATTTATTCTTGTTGTTTACTTTATTGTTATAATTATCCAATCAGTGCTAATGGTTCATTTTTTTGCAGTATTTATTACCAACAATTTAGAAACGATTTGTTAATTGCAAAATGTCAAACATTGTGACTAAGCTTGTTCTTGACCTATCTAAGCTCAATGCTCTTGATGAGACCAATTACTGAAGGTTGTCTCAGCGGATAATAATTTTCTTCGAACAACATGATATTGATTATGTGTTGCTCAAGCCGACGCTCCATCCCATGTCATCATCTTTAGACGTTGCTTTCAATATTGTCGAAGGTGACGCTACACCCATTCCTACTAGTGAATTCCTTTCATCCGTAGCTAATGATGTCATTTCTCAGACATCTTTGGAGAAATGCAAGAAGAACAACAAGACGGTTCCTGGCTTTCTTCTAAGTAACATGTCAAACAAACTTTTTAATATGTTTCTTAAGGATAAAAGTGCTAAGGTTATATGGGACATGCTGGAGAAGAAGTACGTAGCTGATGATGCTAGGATAAAGAAGTACATCATCGGCGAGTGGCTCAAGTTCTAGATGTTCGACGACAAACCAATCATGGATCAAGTCCTTGATTATGAGAAGTTGGCTTCAGACATTTTAGCCCAAGGCATGAAGATGTGCAAAGTCCTTTGAGTAATTTCCTTATTGAAAAACTGCTCAAGTCCTAGACCGACTATAACAACTCACTAAAACACAAGAAGAGGGTGTTCACAAATGAAGAGCTAGTGAGCAAAATGAAGATAAAAGAAGCCAACTGAATTAAGGATAAAATGACTTCTTCTAGTAATATTTCTTTTAAGTCTAATCTTGTTGAATCTTGGTCTGCCTCAGGGTCCAAGTTTAATAAGTTCAAATAACGAGGTGGCTAGAAATATAGGTCAAAGCTTAGAAATATGTCAACTTCAAGAAGCCCTCGAAGATAAGACTCTTCCAAAGACCTTCAATTTTTATGTGTGCGGACAGGCCGAACACAAAGCTTATCATTTTCAACAAAGACCAGACTGCCAAATGAGAATAAACCACAACTAGACATTGTTGAGAATACTGATGATGTCATAGAAACGTTGGTTTCTAAAGTTAACCTGGTAGTGAACAATGCTGAGTGGATCGTAGAAACTGGTGCTTTCAGATATTTCTATGTAAAATGGGAATTGTTCACTGAGTTTGAGGAAGTGAGGAATGAATAACAAGTGTATACGAGGAACTCTAGCAGCTATTTAGTGCTTGACAAAGGGAATCTTTTACTAAAGTTGACCTATGGTAAAACCTTAGCTTTAAATAATGTTCTATATGTACTTTTCCTATGTAGAAATTTGATTAGTCACGGGTTATTGAATAAGGAATGCATTAAACTAGTTTATGAAGTAGATAAACATATACTTTCTCGTAATGGTGATTATGTAGGGAAGGGTAATCTAAGTGGAGGTTTATTTGTAATCAAAATTCAGTTTAATGAAAGTAATAAAACAACCACTTCTATTTATATTGCTCAGACTCTTGATATGTGGCATGTTAGATTAAGACTTGCAAATATTCATTCTCTTAAGAAACTAATTAAAGTGAATTTACTTTATAATTTAGACAAGAATAACTTTAACAAATGTGGGATTTGAATATAAGCCAAACATACTAAACCTTCTTTCAAAACAATTTCTAAGAGAAAGACTTAACTGTTAGAAATAATTCACACTAATCTAACAAACTTTAGAAACTCTAAGAGTAAGGAAGGTAAACACTACTATGTAACCTTTGTAGATGAATTTTCAAGATATATAAAGGTATATCTCCTTATAACTAAAGATGAAGCTAAGAACTTCTTCCTTATTTATAAGGCAGAATTTGAAATCAGCTTGATAGGAGAATAAAATGGCATAGGTCCAATAGAGGTAGTGAATATTGATATAATTTCCTTAAGAGG